CCCGGCTAGGGAGCAGGGGCTGTGTTTCTGTTCCAAGGAACCACTGTCCTCTCCTTCCTTTTCCACGGTTCGTCCTCCTCTCGGCCTCAGCCATTGAATCCTCTGGGGGGAGTATCAGGTCTCGCGTTTTGTTTTCATTTTGGACAGAGTGGAGAGAGAGGCCCGGAACGTCCACCCTAGGACTGCGGTGCGTGGAGGTGCCCAGCGCGGGTGCGGAAGCCCTCTGTTAGCGCAGTTGATTAACCTAACCCTGCTAACGGCGAAGGGTCTAGTATGGGACTTATCCCGATTGAAGGGACTGAGGGCCCGGAGAGGTGGTCAAACCAGTAACCTTCCCAGAGCCACAAGACTAGTTTTTCAACAACACTTAATACAATCTTATACTATGGCTGTTTGCTTTTACTTTTTGTTTTTGGTAACAATCTGCCCCTCTCTGCAGAATGTCAACTCCGTGAGAGCTGGTCCTCCTCTTCTGGCACTCATCCAGCCCAGAACCCTGCCAGGTGCAGAGTTGATCTTCAGTAACCATTTCTTGTATGAATAAGTGAATAGACACGGGAGGCTGTGGCATGAGGTGACTTCTGGCCCTTTATCACCTCTAGTTCGCAGGACAGCTGGATTCATTTGGTGATTGGATGGCACAGGGCAGTAGCATGCTTCAGAATGGCTTCAGACTTGATTCTTAGTCCTGTCTCTGCAGCCATCCGGAGCTTCTCTTCCACTGTCTAGTGCAGTCTGGAAGACTGAGAGTAAGCAGAGAAACTAACTGTACCCTATGGGGCTAGTGCTGGAGGGGGAAGGAGATGTTTTTAATAAAGTCTGTTTCCAAGAAGTCAGGGTTTTTCAATTTAGGTTTCCCACCATAAATAATTTATTAGTGTAGTAATAGTAAAAAATAGCTTGTAAAAACACTGCAAAAGGTCCCAAACAAATGGTAAACATGCTAAGAGATGAGACAGTGCTGGGTTTGGTTTTTATTGGGGAGAACAGATTATTTGCAAGGAAGAATAATTAAAGGATGTGATTATTAAAGATGCATGCTAGTTACTAGTAAGTAAGCAATATCCTTATAGAAGCCATAGAGGGCCAGAATATTAAAGATTCAATTTGAATTTTGTTAGAGTAGCAATATACTGCTGGCTCTATCTTAATAAACTTCATTTTCTCAACTGTCAAGGACTTCATTTTCTCAACTGTCAAGAACAATTGGCACCATTAATGTCTATGCTTCAGGATTTTTAGGAAGTATAGTTGATTGGATTATTAGTACCAATTTTTCCTACCTTTGTAGTACTGTTATGCACCCGTTCCCTTGTCATGGCCTCTTAGTGGGTGATGTGGTTTTTTTTCACTTCATGACATTGGGCTTGGCCATGGGACTTGCTTTGGCCAGTGGGATGTGATCTGAGAAGAGGATATGGTGTGTGTGCTTGCTGGTTGACCTTTTATGTTTCTAGTTCAGTGAAAAAAGCATACCCTGGCTAGCCACCATTCTTTGATTTGCTTGAATGACATCATTGTGTTAGCAAGAAATAAATGTTTCTTGTTGAATGCCATTGATATTTTTGTGAACTTTTGTTACACAGCATTATTGTGTCTTTAGCTGAATGCTACAAAAGGTTGAGTAGCTGAAAGTTGATAAAAGTTTTTTTTTTTAAACATAAAATTCAAGCACAAGTAGGAAATCACAAAATTTGCCCTATTTTTTTTTTTTTTTTTTGGTCTAAGAGCTAATCTCAGGAAGATCATGTTTGTTGAGAGTTCTTCAGCTTTCTCCTACTTAAAAAAATAGTAGCTCTCATATCTTAACTCAGGCTTCTTCTGAAGTATGATTCACTGCCTTAGATTTCCTCTACTATCAGAAATCTAACTTGGTATATTTTAAACATATGGTTTCAACTAGAAAGACTTATAATGCTGGACCACTCAAGATAAAGAATGTGTTGGGCGGTGTCAGGATCAAACTCAGTGACTTTCACATCAGATGTTGGTTTGACTGTGCCAAGATTCTGTAATTAAAGGCTGTATTTTTGAGCATTTGAGAATCACAAAAGGCAACACTATCAGTGTTATAGCTTCAGGCTGAAGAGATTGCCGTGGATTCTCAGAGGACTTCAAAAGGCACAGAATGACAAGGCCTGATGATGTGAATAATGCTGTGGCCCCGTATTCCATTGCACGGACACCTAGCCAGTCCTACGCAGTTCCCTGAACAGTTACTCAGATTGCATGCTGGGTATTTTATGTTTCACTTGTGCTTCTCCTCTATGGAACCGAAAGCCCCTTGCTGGTAGGGACGAGTCTTAGCAGTTTAGTTACCTCAATACCTTATATGGCATATGGTACACGGCAGGCAATCAATTATTCACCAAATGTTTTTGTCTGACCTGGAAGCTATTATTCCAAGACCTCACCTATTGATATCTTATTAATTCTATAGGCATAGCAGGGTGAGGAGGAGGAAGACAGCACCCCCAACTCCCAACCCTGTGCATTCTCTAACACTGGTGACTTACCTGTTGGTGAGACAAATAGGGAAGGTCGTCAAGAGGTAGCATCTTAGAAATTTGAATGTACTATTGCCCTGGTGGCAGATGCTGACCATGCTGACGACACTGTGCTGAGTACCTTGTGAACACAATCCTTTCTAATACGGGTCACCAATCTGGAAGCTAGTAGTTGTCGTTCCCATTTTGCAGATGAGGAAACAGCTTCAGAAAAGTTGAGTCACAGTCTGCCTGAGATCACCTGGTAAGTATGTAGTGGAACTCAAACAGGCACCCAGGTCTGTCTTTAACTTTGATCGGAGCCAGACTGACTGGGTTCAAGTCAGAGTTCCCTACTTATAAACTTGTGCAATCTTTGGCAAGTTATTTAACCTCCCTGTACTATACTTTCTTCATTTGTAAAATAAGAATAACTATAACATCTACCTCAAGGGCTGTTGTCAGGATTTATTGTGACAATATGTATGATGTGTTTATAACATGGCCAGCACGGAAAGTAGTTATTGCTATTATCTTTGTGCAAGATCTTTACCTCCATCTTTTATTTGGTTAAGTCTACACCCATCTTCACATCAATGGCAGGTTTGGAGGGCATGGAGCGTGGCTCACTCAGCTAGCTTCCAAATACAGAAAGCATCTTAGAGGAAAAGTATAGTGAAAAGATAGCTAGTCCATTATTAATTATATTTTATTGAGCTTGTAAATGTCCTTATTCTTTACAAAACATAGATGACTAATTTTCAAAGGCATAGATGTAGCCTGTTCATTTCCTCCTGGGAGTGTTCAGAGGCATTGTCTCTAGAAAATACTGTGAAAAACTTGATAAATATGAAGTGCTTTGTTGCTTTTAAACCAAAATGACATTTGCTTATGGTTTTGACTGAGGGACAGACTTCTCCTCACTGAAATGCAATGGTCTTTTTTTTCATAGTTTCTTTTTTCTGAAAGGGATTTTGTGTGAGTGTGTGTGTGTGTGTGTGTGTGTGTGTGTGTGTGTGAAAAATACTTAGCAGTAGTTGTAAGTTAAAAATAACTTTTGCTTTTTGGGTGGGGCAGAGGCAAGAATAAACCGAAATCTGTTCAAGTTAGAATGAATTTTAATAGAAGAGGAGATAGAGAAACTCAGGGTATTAAATTTGACCATTGTCACAGGAATGCATGTATAATGACACAACAATTTGCATATGACCTTACACCCCATCTGCTCAGGGCTGGGCTTCCTTGAAACAGTGTGAACTTCGTCTGTGAGGTGTGTTCGAGCAGGAACTGCCAGCTGTGAGTTATTTTTGGGTCTCTGGCTGCCACAAGTCCTGCCAACTAAACTGAAGTCGGTCAGACACATGTCACTGAAAATATGCTCATTACTTTAATGAGAATCATTTGGCATTCCTCAAGTGTGGGCCTGGTTCTGCTTTGGAGAGAGGGTCAAGGGCATTTTACTATAATCCTCCTTCTTTTGTAGACCACTGGCTCAGTTTGAGTGGAAATTCTTTTCTTCTTTAGTAAATAGCAAAAAAAAGTTTGGAGACACAACTGCTGACTTTTGTGTAGCATAAGGAAATGAATGTTATTGTGACACTCACACCAAGGGAAGGCCAAACCTCTAGTGGCTTTAAAAAGAGAACACATGTTTTAAAATAAGATGTTAAATGTGTTATGGATGCATAGCTTTCAATATAAAACTAGTGCCTGAAATTAGTTCAAACCAGAGTATGTATAATCCTTCAAATGGTATCTTGAAAGGCTGAGTAGCAAATTTTAGTTCTGGGACTTTACATATGCAAATATAGATTGGGC